CCAGGGAGCGAGGGCACGTTCCGGTCAGCTCCAGGACGGCGTTCCTGGCTGGAGTCCAGCCTGGCTGGGGGTTGGGCTGCCAGGGGGAGTTCCACTAGGGGTGCTCCCTGAGGCGGGAAGGTCTCAGGCCTGTGGCTGCTGACATCTTCTGGTGGGCGTGAACCTCCTCCTTGGCTCCTTTCAGGAGTTCAAGGCCCCAGGCTGTGTAGAAGAGTAGACCACCACTCAGAATGTTGTTCCTGACCCTTCTGGTGACACAGACAACTTGAGGCTCGAGATGGCTTATTCTCTCTGCCTGTGCTGGAGGGCAGGGAGCAGGCCTGTCTACAGGGGGGCAGCCTGGCCTGTGGAGGGCCCTGTGGTCCTCAGGCCCCGCTGTGAGGGCAGATGAGTTTGCAGCCTGTGTCCTTGAGGGTTATGCCGTGTCAGGTTTTCTGGCTGCCCCTGGAAATGCGGCCTCCTTTACTCTGCAGAAGGGGGTGGCTGTGTCCAGGTACTGGTTTCAGAGACACATGGGTGCGGCTGTTTCCAGGTCTCAGAGGGCAGGTCTGGGTCCCGTCTTGGCTCCAGTGCTACTTCAGTGCGTCTTTGGACAGGTTGCCTCTCGGCCCAGGGGTGAGGGTGCCCAGGGCCAGGGCCAGGGCGAGAAGGGTATGGACTGCACCCAGGAGCTGGGTGCAGGGTGGCAGGTCGCCACGTTCTGCTTGGGCTGGTTGGGGCCTCTTCTCACTGTGGCAGCACCACTGGGGAGGGCCACTGCTCACCTGCTTCTGTACCTGCTGCTTTTGAGTCTGAAAGCAAGGCAAAAAGGGTTACATTTTATTCTGTTTCATTAGGTTACTTCACTGGCAGATGTTCCAGAAACATGCACTTTATTTTTCAGCTGTTTCTGGCCAGTCGGCTGCTTCCTGGGCACTCCTTAGCTCTGTTCCTTTCCAGTTCTGGGTGCTGACTTTCTCCGTGGCTGAGCTGCTGGTGCTGCGGGTGGTGCGGACCTCAGCTCTCTAGCTTATACCTCCATCCAGGCAGCGTTGTGCTCTCCTGTCACACCCTTTCCTCCGTCTCCTGAGAGCAACCCTTGGAAGGCTGAGGCACAAGCATCACCACGTGTTCAAGGCCAGCCTGAACTGCATAGTAAGGCCCTGTCTCAAAACAAAGAAGATTGGTCATTTAACGAAGGTGTCAGTGCTCGGTGGGGAGAAGCCATTGCCCACATTGTCTCCAAGGAGACAAGGTCCTGCCTCCAGGCAGTCTTGATCTTTATTCTATTGTATATATGTTTTTGGTACCAGGAATCAAACTCACAACCTTGCACTTGCCGAGCAGGCACTGTGCCACTGAGTTAAATCCCTGGCACAAGTATGGTCTTTAGGAGAAGACCTGGAAGTGTCACACAAGCCTGTGCCCTGCGCAGGCCCAGGGAGGGGGTGGTCGGTGGCCCCACCTTGCAAACATGGGGTGGCTGTGCAGGTGGAGGGAAGGAGTGGATGTGCACGTGTCTTGTGGGTGACACAGGTAACACGGAGGAACGCGGGGTCTGAGCCGCGGTACAAACCCACTTACCCTGCGGTGGTGAAGTACAGAGTCCTCCCAGAGTCTGGGTTAGTGAACATGCCTAGCCCCCTGCTGCCATGGTGAGGTCCACTGTGGCAGTGGGGTGCACATCTAAGGAGTGGCTGCCCAGGGGTGATAGGGTGGCCTTGTGACTGGAGGGGCTCAGGCTGCTGGTTGCCGCAGTGCTTATGGCCAGGGGCCGCTGAGGAGCTGCACCAGCCAGCATGGGCATGGGACTCACAGTGGCCAGATGTTTGGGGGCGGGAGGGTGCCGGACCAGGGGCCACCCACCCCCCGGCCGCTTCTGGCCCCGGCCTCCTCTCTGGAACTGTCCCAGTTGTGTGTGTCCACCCTTCTGCGCAGGAGCAGTCAGCTGCACATTCGTGAAAGCCCAGTCCTCTTTCTTCTGTACTAAACTGTCCTGTTCAGTTGCTGGCTCTCACCTGTTCATCAGATTTGAATTTCACGTTGGCAGGACCCAGTCCTTGATGCACTGGGCTGCATCCAGGCTGCCATCAGTGCCTGGAATGGGGCAGGGGCAGGGGCAGGCCACTAGCCACCTCAGGGCTCTTGGTACTTGCCGCCAGTTTCATTTTGTAGCTCAGATAATCTTAGGCCATGAGTAATTGTGACATTCATTCCCACGCTGCTGTGCCCTCTTGCTGCTTGGAGGATCCCAGCCGCGGCCCGGCATGAGCTAGGCAAGTGCTCTGCCACAGCCCCCTCCCGGCCCCTCTGCCTGAGTGGAAGCCACCTAGCAAAGTAGACACGACAGGTTCCTTTCTGCAAGCGCTGCGCATCCGGGAGCATCAGAGAATAGCCCTCCTGGGCTCAGCACTGTGGGTGTGGCCTCCCTCTAGGGGCTGGGCCCCCTGAGTTTGCTCCTGCAGAGGCAGTGTGGTGGCTGGGCCGGTGGTGGCAGCAGTAGGTCTGGGGTGCCCTGGCTGCCTGATGCAGGCAGCCTCCGGGACGGCTTCCCTGCGGGGCCCCGAACCTTGCTCGCAGGCCGCTGTGGGAGCTCGGAGGGCCCTTGGTGTTCTCAGGAGCCCTGCCCACAGCTGTTCACTGTCTGTCTGCACTTACCTTACACTGCTGTCTCCTCAGTGTTAGCCGGTGTCCGTGCCACAGATGTCCACTCCATGCCTTCCTGGGTTCTCATATCAGCGCCTTCAGCTGGGCGCTTACAGAGGAGACTCATTTTGTACCCAGTTCTTGAGGCTCCGGGCATGACATCGCCCCCTAAAGACAGGGATTGCACTGCAGGGCTAGAGGTGGGGGCTGCGCTGACTCCAGTCAGCATCCGGGAGAACTGCACCAGCTCCTCTGTGGGCCGTGACCTGAGTGCCAGCATGTGACCCCTAGGGGCACAGCCTGCAGGTTCCCTCCCTAGCTGCTCAGGTCAGTGGAAGTCAACATGGTGTGGAGCAGGTGGGGACAGGGAGCACATGGTGCCTGGGCTGAGCGGCTGCTCTGCTCTCTGGGGCCAGGTTGGCGGGGTTGCCTCAGCCTGGAGCCCAGAGAGGCCCCACACGATGCTACCCAAGTCCTTGGTGGCTGTAAGGATGCCTCCAGGCCCTGCCCTCCTTGGGCAGGAAGCCTCATTCCTGAAAGACTGTGAGGTGCTGGAGGCTTGAGCAGCTCAGAGCAGGTCTGTCTTGTGTTT